CAGGAATTTCATGAGTGATTGGATGGCAGTAGGGTAGATAAAAGAGAATAGGAGTAAGGATGAAATGCAGTGTGTACTGATCAGTTGAGTGGATGGTGGTCCCAGTCCCGAAAGTAGGAAAGACAGTAATTGAAATAGGTTTATGATGTGGGGTCAATGTTAAGTTCAGTTTGGGGTTTCTTAAATTGAGGTACCAGATTGATATAAGTAGAAATGATCAGGAAGCAATTGACAGTAAGGTCCAAAGATCAGAAGTGTGGTGTGGGCTAAAGAAATGGAAGTAGGAATGATCAGTATAAATCTGGTTGTCTAGCTTAGAAGCAATATAATGCAGAATGCAGGTGGAATGACAGACTTTTAACAGAACTGTAGAGAACACCAATAGTTAAAATTTAGACAAAGAACCCTTAAGTTAAGAAAAGATCAAAATAGTTTTTGGAGGAAGATGAGCATGAAGTTTGAGTCCATTAAGTATTCCCTTGTTGAGGTAGCTGAATTTGAGAAATGTTTAAATTTGCAATTTTTATGTAGACATAGGCCAACATACACTATACTATCTTTAATAATAAAAGTGTAATATGCTAATTAGACCGGATGTCCTTACAGACGTCCTTTCTTCCGGACAAAGCTGCAGAGGCGGCAGAGGCCCCAGACCACGGTGGCGGGCGGGGGCCGGGGCCAAGGCCCTTGCATGAATTTCGTGCATTGGGCCTCTAGTGTGTTTCATAATTTGGCTATCTTGATTTTATGTACCATCATATTCCACATTCTTCCAATATGTAATTTTTCCCTTATAGGATATTAGGCAACATAGTGGATGCTATGGTTATGGATGTTGATATCTGATGACCTGTTTAATCTACTTTTTTATATTTTTTGACATTTCCTTCCCCTCATTTTTTACCTGCCCAGTTACTGATTTACTGTAGCCTTCATGTAAAAAATTGAAAAGGGGGAGAATGTGTTTCTCCTTTTTTGGGTCCAATATCTTAGAGTTTTATAATGATTTCTCTATTTTAATTTGTTTACAACACCGCCATGAGTATAATTTTGGAAAGAGCCAGGAGATGAATTGGAGAAATGGACACTTTTTCCAACATCACAATTACTTCTCAGCTTCAGTGCCTGCATCTCTAATACAGTGAGGTTTGGCTTCCTCTCGTTAGTAAGAGTTAATTCTCAAAAGAACTCTCAGGACTTCATGAATAGAAGATTTCTGGCAGCACTGCCTCCTACCTCTTCACCTCTGATCCTTATTAGGGCTCACAGGTCAGGCTCCAGCTAAGTCCCTCCTGGAGGGAGTGCTGATCAGAAAGGCCTGATCCAGAAGCCTTATCTGCCTATAACACATGCCTAAAGAAAGGCATCATATTTATAGAATCAGGCTGAGTGTTGCATTTTTTATGTTCAGTTTTGTGTTATCAGAGGAAAATTGTGAAACAACTTTGAAATGTACCAAAAAGATTACTGAGTATACTATCTGACTCAGCTTTCTAAGGTTACCTCGCCCTTTTATTATCTTTGAGCTCTTTTACAATCCTGTAAGTGATAGAAAACTGAAAGTAATGCAAAAGGTTCTTGTTCATTGAAAAGGAAATTGTGTACTGTGGAATGCAATTGGTTATTGCCCTCTGGATAGTTACCAATTTTACCCGTTTTGCATCTACTTGTAAATTCTTTGCAGTACTCTTTTTTTTTATTAATTTTAAGATTTTAATTGACCAAAAATTTATTCCAATCTCACAGTGCCAAACTGGAAATGGTTATGAGTGCTCCTTTTTTGCTGTATTCTTGATGTTTATATATTTGTCTGTTCCTTGAATTTACCTTTCAACCAATTATAACATCTATGGATTTCCCTTTTAATTAATGAATCAATTGAAATCTATGTCCCATGTGCAAAAAAATTCTCTCGCTATATATACACATGTATGTTTATACATGCATATAACATCTCTAGAAAAATTTATAGTAACTGCTGGTTATGATGGCCTCTACAGAAGGGAAGGCAGGAAAACTTGCTTTTTGCAATTTGCCCTTTTGAATCCTTTGGGTTTTGTATCATATGCTTATATTAACTAAACAAATAGATAAATTTTTAAAATTTATTACTGGCCCTAGCTGTTTTGGCTCAGTGGATAGAGCGTCAGCCTGGGGACTGAAGGGTCCCAGGTTCAATTCCAGTCAAGCGCACATGCCCGGATTGTGGGCTCAATCCCCAGTGGGGGTCGTGCGGGAGGCAGCCGACCAATGATTCTCTCTCATCATTGATATTTCTTTCTCTCCCTCTCCCTCTCTGAAATCAATAAAAATATATTCTTAAAAAATTCATTACTGAACTCTAAAATCAGTTCTTAGCTAGTCCTTACCAAAACATCAACATCAACTAAATTCACATTTGAATTAATTGACTCTGAAAGGAGATCTTTGTCCCTAAATAAACTACCAGTACATAACAACCTACCTGTCAACATCCTACCTACAGCCTTATTTCTGTACCTTTTAAAGCAAAGCTTTCACCTCTATTTTTAAGATAACTCTAACACTGTACAAACATTTGGTCAGATGGTACCTATTCTATTTTGAATCTATTAAAGGATCACAATCTTAGTGTGGAGTGAGGTGGTAAACCAGTTAGCCTGTTTTGCAGTTGTTCTAAATTCACATTATCAATTCACCTTGCCTCTTGCCCAGCTATGCATACTCAATAACTCCCCTGGTCTAATTATAGCTAGAGGCTCTCCCTTTAAGCTAGAGGTTCTCAAGCTCGGATGCACAGTGAAATCGCCTGGGAGCTTTTAAAAATCGGGATGCCCAGAACAATTAAATCATAAAGTCTGGGGGTGGGAAACCGGTACTTTTTAAAGCCACTGGGGTGATGCTCAGGTTGAAAAGACTGCTTCATGCAGAGAACAGTACTGGTTTAGCAGGAACTTCATATACTGCACCTTGGGAGCAAAAGCACTGTGAGTCCCTGACTGGAAGATCAGTATTCGTGATGAGGAGGGTCCACACAGAAAAGGGGGCAGCCTTTACCGAGTCTCCTTATGTGCAGAACCTGTTTTCCCCTGGGTCACCTCTGGAATGGGAGAAAGAAGGGATTGGGCGTGATTTAAAAGCCCAAACTGACTTGGTTATAGTTATTAGAGCTCTTTAAAAAAAAAATAGTTCTCAATTCAGCTGAGGTTTCACTGAGTAGAAAATACCAAATTGGGACTGCTGGGTGCATATGCCTGCCTTGTTCCTCTGCCGTTAGGGGCACAAAGCCAGCCTAGTGACGAGTGGCATCTAATACCACTGCCACCATATGGCTGAATTACTGACACAAAGCTATATTTGTTGTACACTGGTCAGCTGGGAAAACCACATATTGTACAACTAGAGGCCCGATGCATGAAATTCGTGGAAAAGTAGTCCTTCCTTCTCCTGGCTGCCGGCACCGGCTTCCCTCAGGAACCTGGGACCCAGGCTTCCCTCGCAGCCCCGGCTTTGTCTGGAAGGTCATCTGGAAGGACGTCTGGAAGGATGTCTGGTCTAATTAGCATATTACACTTTTATTATTATAGATGTGACCTATTAAGTGTCTATTATTGTCAAAGGTCCTAGAACTTCACTGCTCTACCCCACAACACTGGGCTTTGTTAAGAGGTCTTTGGTAGAGAGTTAGTTTCAGAAGGGGAGAAGTAAACAATGCATCCATCATGCATTCCCTTGAAGATGGTAAAGCAGGGAAATAGTCTATCTCTTGGCATGCCCTTCACTCCCCGAAAGGTATCTTCTCACGGGAAGTCCTTATTACTGGCCTGCTTCGGTTTCATGCTTTAAACCGTTTTATTGTTGCCTCCGCCATTTTTAAAACATGAAAATTGGTATCATGAACTCTGCTGTGGTTTGCCTTCATGTACTCATTGTATATCCCCCTCCCTTTTGTATAGGAAGACAGAGATGTCAATAACCCCATGCCTAACCGAGGAGGCAATGGACTAGTTCCTGGGGATGACAGATTCAAACCTGTGGTACCCTGGCCTCATGTTGAAGGAGTAGAAGTGGACTTAGAATCTATTAGAAGAAAACACAAGGCCAAAAATGAACAAGAGCACCATGCTGGAGGAGAGAACCAGAGAGACATAATGCAGAGGCAGTATCTCACTTTTAAGCCTCAGACATTCACCTACCGGGATCCTGTGCTACGCCCCGGGATCCTCGGTAACTTTGAACCCAAAGAACCTGAGCCTCATGGAGTGGTTGGTGGCCCTGGAGAGAATGCCAAGCCATTGGTTTTGGGACCAGAACTCAAACATGCAGTTCAAGCCAGCATTAAAGAGTTTGGATTTAACATGGTGGCAAGTGACATGATCTCCCTGGACCGCAGCGTCAATGACCTACGGCAAGAAGAGTAAGCACACGTCCTCTTCTTTCTAAAACGGGGGCAGCTATTGTTTGATAGATATTTAGTTAGATGCTTAGAATGGAGAAAATATCTGTGCCTTTATTTCAAGGAAATAAGAGGATCTTTGGTCTGCAAAATGGCCAGAGGAAGAGATCTCTCCATTTATGTCTGCTAGGATATGGAAGGTATGTCGTAGAGAATTCTGGGATCTTCCCCATGAGCCTTGCTCAGAATCTGGTCCTCAGACTGGCATCAGTCTGTGAGATTTTTGTTACCAGTCCACAGTGAGAAAATGAGCTGGCACCAGGATGTAAATCAACTACTAAGTACTGTGTTTAGTTCAACTGACAACCTCATGACAAAATTTTGTTGGTGTGCTGCTTTTCATTCTGGATCTAGCTCCTTATTTTGTTGTGGAACAATAGCAATAGTAACACTGCTCTAGACTAATACAATTAACTAGATATTTATGTGTCCATTCATTTCTTTCCTCTCAACACCAAAACTCATGAGTATGCAAAGGGAGCACGCAGACCGATAAAATTATGGCCTAAACTTTCAAATTCTTTTCATGTATTTTAATTTAAAATAAAAGATTTCCAAGTCTTAGCTTTCAATAGATGGTAATTATTGAATGAACTCAAAGCTTTTCTCTTTCAGTTTATTCAATAACTGGTTCTACTCCTCTAGGATCTAAATCGTGTCCATTAATGTGGATGCATATTTAATTCACAGCTACTAGAAAACTCACAAAATGTATTCCTGATGATGCATTATTAACTAATCCTCATTTTAAAAGGTTAACACAACACAGGCACGTGCACACACAGCAGCATTCTTTACGACCACAAAGTAAAATTTTGTACCTAACATAGTGCTACTCAGTAGACTTTGGACATTAATGTTTATTAGAACAGTGGGAGGGGGGTGAATGAAATATATGAAAAAATAGAAGGTGTAGAAGCATAGAGCCATGACGGTGAGAGGCATAACCTCTTCTACGGACAAGAGTTAGAGCATCTTAAGGAACTATAAAGGGAGAACCTTGGGTCAATTTATTCCTAATCAAAGTAGAAATTTGCTTTGTTATAGGGTTGCCGGATTTCACAAATGGAAATAGGGGTCTCTCAGTTAAAACTGAATTTTAGATCGCAATGAAAAACATTTAGTATAAGTATATCCCAAATAGTATATGAGACAACTTATAGTTAAAATTTTTATTATTTATCTTAAATCCAAATTTAACTGGATGTCCTATATTTTGTTTGGCAACCCTTCTAGTCAGCACAGTGAAGATAGTTCTTATAGAGCTAGAACTGCCCTGCACGTACCCTTTAGAACCCATAACAGGATCTGCAGTCCCTCCTCTGGAGTGCGTCCAGTAAAATACAGCACTCGACTCTGTTATAGAGCTTCTCCAAGAGCCTGCTGATGGCCTTCTCATCACTGTAACAGGGAAAGGATGGGGACGGTCTAACATTTATTGACTTTCCACGACATGCCTGAACTTACTATAAGTTATCTTATATCATTCGCACAAATGAAACTGTAAGAGAGTTCTTACCTGTGTTTGTAAAGTCTGAGACTTAGAGTTGTGCCTTCTTTGTATTCGCCTAGCAGAATGGTACAGCCGTGCTGCCACCCAAGGTGGTTTGGTGTGAGGGCCCCTTCTCTTCCCAACACACACCTCAAGGTGTGGCAGTGTGCCTCCGTGCGTGTTACAGTACAGTCAGAGGGTGGAGCTCAGTGTAGAAGCTGAGATTTTTAGCACATGAGTTATTATAAAAGATAGTCTTTTCAAACACCAGTATAAATCTAGCTCACTTTTCTATATAAGAAATATGTTAAGAAAATCAAATGACGTACAAGGCAGAGCAGTGCCCAGGATTAGAGTTACCCTCCCTGCCTCCCTCTCCTTCACCCCTCACATCCATTCTGTCTGCAAGACCTCTCGTTGCTGCCACCAAACTATGTCCCAGATCATGTCTGAGTGCCCTTCTCTCATCTCCACCGCCACCACCCAAGTCCAGGCCCCCGTCTCTCTCGGACTCCTGCAAGAGCCTCCTTCCTGTCTCTCCATTTCTACCCTTGCCTCCTACCTTGCTCACACAGAAGCAGTGTGGTGTTTGGGCCCACTAATGTAGCTTATCTAAAACCATTCTTTGCCTTCCCAGTGAACCTGAAATAAAACCCACATTCCTAACCAGCAGCAGTCCCCATGCCGGGACCCTTCCCTGCCTTGCCAACCTCATCTGCTACGATACTCCTTGCCCACGGTGCCCCAGCTGTGTCAGCTCTTCCCTCCTCCGGGAATGAGTTTCCCTTCTTGAGGCCGGCTCCTTCCCATCCTTTAGGTCCCAGTTGAACCTCTCTAGCCATGCTGTCCAACTTGGTAATGCCCTGCTTTATTTTCTATGACTGCTCTCTGGCCATCTCTTTCATAGCATTCATCAAGTTTATTGATTACCTTTCTTACTAGAAGATAAGCTCTTGAGAGCAAGGAATATGTCTGTTTTCTTCACCAGCTACTTTGAGTCACCAGCTACTTTGAGTAACTGACAACTAGGAGCTTGATAGTTCTCTGTTGGTTAATATCTGTCGAGAGGATGGATGGATAGATGGATGGATGGATGAAATCTTCCAGGGTTCAAACCTTGGCTTCATTAACAGATATGAGATCTTAGACCAGTTATTTACCCTCTCTAACCCTCAATTACATAATCCTTAAAATAGCTCTAACAATACCTGTCTCTAAAGATTGGCATTATACTTAAATGGCATTAGAAACTTAACTCTTATTGGCTGTTTATATTGATATGGCACATTTGAATGTTTTCAGTTACTATTTAACTTTGATGTCTCTGTTGCTTTTTGCAAAACATAAATGTCACACACTGCCTTATCTGCATCATCTTCCACAATGGCAAAGCCTTCATCTCGCCTTTGATAATTTCAGACACAACGGTTGCAACCCTTCCAGCTCTCCGAGTCTTCCTTGCTCTCCTGCACTTTCCTTCCTTTCTGTCTTTCTTTGTCTCTCCCTCCCTCGCTCCCTTCCTTCTTTTCCACAGTGCATCCCTCCTTTTTTCTTCTTTCCTCCCTTTTTTCTCCTTCCCTTCCTTCCTTCCTTCCTTCCTTCCTTCCTTCCTTCCTTCCTTCCTTCCTTCCTTCCTTCCCTCCTTCTCCCATGTTTTGCCAATTGTTCCCCATGTTCTTTTTTCTTGCACAACCAGAGCAGTTCCTAGAAATAGGATTATTGCAAATTTCTGTTTGTCATTCCTCTACGTATGTGTGTCCAATCAAATAAAAGGACCCAGCGCCATCTTAGCAGATGCTCGCAAACCCCTCTTTAAAATTCTCTGCTAGTGAGAAACCTTTTTTTTATACTTCAAAATACTCAAACATGGTAACCCCCAGAAACTTAAAAAACTGAATACAGATTATTTTTTAAACTTGATTCTTTCTCAGACTTTTTTAAAAAATGAAATAGGCTTCATTCCTCTTTGAGCACATAAAATTCAATGTAGAGTAATGAATAATTTCTAAGGAGTTATTAATAAATGAGGATGTGGACAGTCAAGAATTTTCTCTGGAAAAAAAAAAGGCAACAACAAAGAAAACACCCCGAAGTTTTGTACATTATTTAATATGCATTAGCACTTTCCTGCTTTTACTGGCAACATGCAGCATGTTAAAAAACAAAACATACATCCATATCTCTCACACACACCCTCCTTCATACTCATCCCTTGTGGAGAGCATGCTACAAGGAGCCCATCCGAGACTGGCTTGACATTGCTGACTTTCTGAAGCTTTAGAGTGTAGGCCTTATCAGCCTTGTTCTCTTGCCTCTGTCAGACATATAAATGCGCCACCTGCCCTGCTTGGAAACCACTGCTGTGGGCAGTTTGTCCAGCTGTGACATCTGACACTGTGGTTAACTTGTTCGTTTTTGTGGCTGCTCCATAGTCTTTTCAGATGAATGTTCTTTTCCTTACAAGCAGGACAGACCTGCCCAGCTGCCAGCATGACTCATAGTTATGTATGTTACAGCTTTGAATTACATTCTCTGGCTGAGTAATTTACTGGCTGTTGATTACTTGTTAAGAGTGAGTAACAGTATTTTGAGTGAACTGGAGGCCTTCTTTTTTAAAAACTTGAGCCAAAAATGACTTCACTTGCCTTCACACTTATTTTCTATAAAAAAAATATATGATTTTCTTCACAGTTCAACAGATATTGAGTAAGTCCAATGAGCAAGGTACTGTGCTAGCCCATCAGGGGATGAAACAATGAGAAAAATATAGTTCCTGCCTTCAAAGGGTTCACCATCTACCCCTGGAGAGGGGAAAGGATAGCATAATATAAAAGCCATAGGAAAGGTGTGAGCAACATGGCATGGTTCAGAGGAATGGGAAGCCACGTGGAGTTACAGGGGAGTCCAAAAAGGAGTCATTGCCTGGCCAGTGTGGCTCAGTGGTTGAGCATTGACCTATGAACCAGAAGGTCACGGTTTGATTCCCGTTCAGGACATATGCCTGGGTTGCGGGCTTGATCCCCAATGTGAGGTGTGCAGGAGGCAGCTGATCAGTGTTTCTCTCTCATGATTGATGTTTCTATCTCCCTCTTCCTTTCTCTCTGAAATAAATTAAAAAAAATTTTTTTAAAGAGAAAAGGATTTATGGAGGGGACACTAGGGACGGACCCTGGAAGATGAGTAGGGTTCCCCCAAGTAGAGGTTACAAATATTGAAGACATGAAGATAGGCATTGACTAGGAGGAAAGCAAGTGGTATCGATTACTTGGATCAGGAAGTGTGTGTAGAGAAACAAAGCTGATAAGTAGGTTCATGTTTAGAAGACCACGATGCCATGTACAAAGCCTATACAGAATTTGGTAGTCAGGGGAGACCCACTGAGTATTTATAAAGGGAAATTTAGGGATATCAGAGTGGTAGAGGTGTCTAGAGTGAATTGGGGTGGAGACCTGTTAGAAGCTTAATAGCA